TTTTTTTTTTTTCCTGCAAGGCTTGGAAGCATAATCAGATATTTTTAGATATTTTTCCTTGGGTATTTTTGGGGTCCTTTTGGAAGAGTAACTTGTTTTTTTTTTTTCCCCAAACATATTAGGAACAGATCTGTCTCCAAAGATCCAAGTGGACTAACAGATGTGGATCTGGAGTTGCAGAGATAATTTCTTGTGTAATTGGTTTTGTGTACATGGCACAGCAACACAGAAAGGTGGGTTGGAAGGGATCTTAAAGATCAGCCAGGTTGGACGGGTCTTGGAGCAACCTGGTCTGGTGGAAGGTGTCCATGCCCATGGGATGGGGTGGAACGAGATGAGCTTTAAGGTCCTTTCCAACCCAAACCATTCTATGATTCTGCTCTACAACCATCTCATCCTCCCTATTCAATTTAATTCTTTTTTCCCCTGTTCTTGCTCACACCTGTGCCTTGATCCCTCTGGGGTGAGTTGGCTGGATCAGAAGCCCTTACTCCACAAAACTTCCTTCTTCCCCACCACTGTCGTCATCTAACCTGCCACTGCACAGCCCCATTTCCTGCTGGATGGCCCAGCTGGACTGAGGGTCAGACCAGTTACAAACTGGGATGCCCTGAGCTGCTCTGCTCACAGAATCACAGAATGTGCTGAGTTGGGAGGGACCCACAAGGATCATCCGGTCCAACCCCTGGCCCTGCACAGGCCCATCCCCAAGAGTCACCCCCTGTGCCCCAGAGGATCATCCCAACCCTCCTGGAGCTCTGTCAGCCTTGGGGCTGTGCCCACTGCCCTGGGGAGCCTGGGCAGTGCCCAACCAGCCTCTGGGGGAGGAACCTTTTGCTGAGATCCAACCTGAGCCTGCCCTGACACAGCTCCAGCTGTTCCCTGGGTCTCCAGCTAGGTGTTACCTGAGGTGTGGTTCTTCACTTCAGGGCTGGGTGTTGTTGGCTGGGGTGGACCTGTAACACAAGCAGAGGGACATGGAGGTGACGTGTCCTACACGTGCTCCATGTTGGTGATCCCACAGGGAGGGTGGGACCAGAAGAGCTGAAAGGGTGAGGGAGGCAAGAGATGCCGTGGAGAGGGTTTGTCACCGGTGTGGCTGTAGGGACCAACAGGGAAAGGGACCATGGCTGAGGATCCATGGATCCCTAGAGGACAACGTGCTGGGAAACAGCTGAGGGAAACAGGGAGCAAAGACAAGGCAGGATCCCTCTTTCTCCAGGCTTTCTGGAACACAGCCTTGCTCTCTTCCAGACAAACAGGGGGCCAAACCAGGTCACCCTCTGGGGCACAGTGGCCCCCATGTCCCTGGAGATCTGGGGGTGAGTGGTGGTGGATGTGCACAGAGCAGGATCATGGCAGAAGGTGCCTCAGCAGTTTGGAATCAGGTCCTCATTTGTGGGCTCTCCATTTGCATCCCCATATTTCCATGTGCATCCACATCCAAACAGACACATAAAGCACATCCCAACCTGGCAGGTACCTGTTACAGCATCGATGGAGGAGTTTGTGGAGGCTGTGGAACCTGAAATGAAAGAGTAAAGAGTGTTAGTGGTGCTAATCTGTGACTGTCACTACTGCACTGGTGTTCTTGTTCCTTTCGTGGTTTGGCTTTTCCTGATCTTCTGTGGGAATGGCTTTGGAATAGGTAGTTCTTCCAAAAGTATTTGCAAATAAGAAGCAGCAAACACTGAGTGCAGGTTCTGAGTAAATTAGTACTGGAGTTTATCCAGCCAGGATGAGTGTCCTCCTCCCCAGCTGGAGCTGAACCCTTTGGGGAGCCATCTGCCTCTGTTACAGGGGAAACATGGAAGGCCACAGAAATCCATGGGGTCATTCCCTGCCTGGTTTGCCTCCAGCTCAGTCTTGGCAGAGAAGGGGATGTGGCTTGTACTCCGGAGGACATGTTTTTTATTCCCTTAAGACCTTAAGGCATGGATGGACGAGGTTTGTAAAGGCTTCCAGTAGCCAGTGGGGCTGTTCACCTTCTTGTCTCCTACCTCTGATCCTTCTGTCCCATATATTTGTACCTTTGGATGCTGGATGAAGCCTTGGCTATGTCTGGAGGGGGTTGCAGCCCTGGGGACTGACTTGGTGCTGCCTTCCCCGAAGGAGTGGGTAGTCTTGCAGGTCCATGCAAGGTTGTAGGTGTTGCTCTTGAGTCCTCAGTTTCTCAACTGAAAGGTGGTTTTGTTTGGGGTTTTTTGTTTGGTTGGTTTTCTTTTGGGTTCATGACAAGGCATCCCTGCCCCAGTGCCCCATGTTGCCTGCTCTCAGCATCCCGGGTGTTTTTCTTTAAGCCCCAGCTCCTGTGACCATAGAAACATAGAATAGAACAGTTTGGGTTGGAAGGAACCTTTAAAGGTGAACTAATCCAACCCCCAATGGTGAGATGAGATGCCAATTACAAATGCTGCCCTTGAAAATGGGAAAAAGATACGTCCAGTTCTCACACTTGGGGACAAGACCTGGAAAATGTAAAATGCACTTTAAATGCTCAAATCAAACCCAACTGATCCTCGTGGGTCCCTTCCAACTCAGAATGTTCTGTGATTCTGTGGTTTAACTTTGGGAAGGTGACTTTGAGTCTACTGTTGAAAGGCAGAAGCTAATTAGGATTTTAAAATGGTTATTGCTGGTGACCCTGGTGCTCTCTGTGGTTAAGATTAATGAAAGAAATGACAATACAGGTACAGAAAGCAGCTGAGTCTGATCCCATCGGTGACCCATCTCACCAGGGGAGTTAAAGGTTTTGGACAGAAAGGGACAGCAGGGAAGGCTGAATCCTTCCAGCACACTGTCCCCTCCTGATGCCACGTGGCTGCACTGCCACAGGGTCTGGGAGGAGCAGTGCCCTTGCAGGGGGTGGCATGGGGACCAAGGCAGCACCAGCCATGGCAGAGCAGTGCTCATGTGCCTGTTTTCAGCCAGGACGTGCCCTCCCTGGGGGTGAGATGCATCTCACCTGCTTCTGCACATCACTCAGGAGCCACCTGGGACAGAGAGCATCTCCAGGCCCTATTTGTCACCAAAGGGGACCAGGAACTCCTGACATGCTGTTGCTCTGACCTGTCTCAGATCTCTACCTTTCTCCAGCTGTGGCTGGAGAAGCCACTGCCTACAACACCCCATAATGGCTTCAAACTGAAAGAGAGTAGGTTTAGATTGGATATTGGGAAGAAATTCCACCCTGTGAGGGTGGGGAGGCCCTGGCACAGGTTGCCCAGAGAAGCTGTGGCTGCCCCTGGATCCCTAGGAGTGTCCAAGGCCAGGTTGGACGGGGTTTGGAGCAACCTGGGCTAGTGGGAGGTGTCCCTGCCCATGGCAGGGGGTGGAACTGGATGATCTTTAAGGTCCCTTCCAACCCCAACCATTCTGGGATGCCATGATTTGATACTGGGAGCTGTAGAGGGGGTGGGGGTGAATTTTGTGGTTGGTCCTTATGCTGTTGGTGTCCAGCAGAGCCTGTCTGAGTGTCCTGGCAGTGCTGTGTGTCTGGAGTGAGACCCTCACACCCAGTGTGGGGTTCCCAGGAGCTCAGAGCCCACCCCTCAGGACCCTCTGGGTGCAGTGAGCTCCTGATTGATCCCATTTTCCTCATGTAACTACTTTGGAGCCATAATTGGTTTTGTGTCTGAGGCTTTATGACAATGATCTCAGCCAAACAGGAAGTAAAACAGTGTGTAAACTATGGTGACTACATAATAAAATGTGTTTTATTTCCAGACGGGGTTTGGCTGTGAAAATCAGACGTGACTTTTCAGATCTTTTCCGTGTTTTTGTCTTTCAGCTTACTGGGCAGCAGGCTGGCAAAACTGTCCTTGTCAGTCCAGGAAAGGGGAGCCATGATCAGATCTTTGATTTCACAGAGAGGAAAGGACTGGTTGGTTTTCTAAATCCATTGGGAACAGGACCAGAAAAGGAAGTAAAGAAAAGGAAGGCTGGGCAATAGGAAACTGCCTTCACATAAAGGCAGTGAGTTTCTAGGAGTGAATTGTGTTGGATAATTTGTGGGGTAACCTTCTCTAGGGGTTTTGAAGAGCAGGTTAAATGAGCATCACGCTAATAACGGACAGGGTTATGGACAGATACTAAATCCACTAATATAATGGAGAAAAAGGATGTTTTAGGCACATATCTGCCCTTCTTAAAGAGTTAGATATACTTCTTTTGAGGAAGGTAGATGTGTCCCTTTGGGGATATGGTGGAATTGGCAGCGCTGGGGGTTGGACTTGAGGATCCTAGAGGGCTTTTCCAACCTAAACAAGTCTGTGATTCTGGACATTGATTTGCAAATGCCTTAAGATACTCCACACATTCAGCACAAAAATAAACGTCCTGAGATCATCATGGGGGGCCAGTATCCTTCAGCCACTGCCAGACTCAAACAGCTCCTCTTTCTCCAAAATTCCCTTGCAGGAGCCATTGTCTTGTTTTCCTGTGGGGAGAAGGAGCTGCTTGTGATAACTGAAATGATCACAGGTGCTTTTTCATGTATGTGGCACATGAAAGCATCAAGAATCACTGAAGATAAGAGCTGTTGTCTGCACTTAGTCTTTGCCAGAGGAAGAGGGGAGTAAAGGTGATGATCTGGCTGTTTATTCCACCATTTCTGGTGCAGATAGAGAGAAATCTGAAAGCTTGAACGGAGCCTCTAGGGATGGGAGGAAGCTGAGGGCAAGGGAGGTGACATTGCCCTGTGCTGCCATGGGACAGCTCCAACATCCCTGGCACATCCCTGGTGCTGGGGCAGGAGGTAGAGGATTATATTCAATGCTTTCTTCCACCACAGCTCAGCCTGCTGCTGAGGGACACATTGGAGAACTTGAGAAGTTTGCAGACCTAAACCTTGGGTTTGTTGTAAATAAGCACTTTCCCCCCAGTGCTCTGGTCCTGGAGTTCCCCAAGGATGCTCCTCCTGGTCTACATGTTTGAGCTTTGCTGCAGAGAAGTGCCCAGCCTTGCTGTGAAGGGATGGAGATCCCCTTCTGGTATTTTGCTCCAGAATAAATTGCCTTGGCTTCTCTAAACACATCCACACATCATTTCCAAGCAGAGCAGCTCTGGCTCTGACTTCTGGCCACTGCTGCATGTTATGCCTTCCCTGCCAACTCAAATAATCAAAAGTCCTGTTAAATGGGGTGTTTTCTTTAGGGGAGGGTGCTCAGCATCCTGGTTGGATTGCTTTGGAGTGGGATGGATGTGTGCAGAGCAGGAAGGGACCCAAGTCCCATTGTGGGGCTGGGCAGCAGGATGGGCACGGACAAACAGCGCCACGTGTCGCGGCTCCACACAGACATCCCGGGGGACTCTGGTGTTGGAAAACATTCCCTGCGAGTGCTGCTGCCAGCATGGCCCTGCTCCCTCCACGGAGAGCCCTGGATATATAAACAGCTCCCAGTAATAACCAGGACGCAGCTGGAATTGCAATACACATCAAAGCCATTCAATGAGCGCGAGCAGTGCCAAGAGATTCCTCGTGTGTTTGGGTGCCAGTGATTCACAGTGGATCGGGCAGTTCTAGGTGGAGACGGGGAGCTGACTGAGGGATTTACGATGGGAAACATGGATTTCTGCTCCTGCTGTCCTGGGAAACTCCCAATCACCCACCAGAGCTGCACAGCAGCACCTCGGATCTGCCACTGCATTTCAGCTTCAGCTCAGTGCTCCCTGGTTCATTTTTCCAGGAGAATTTTGAAAAGCAGCTTGGCCAGCATGGGATGGGGGGATTCTGCCCCTCTGCCCCTCAGCTGAGACCCCCCTGCAGAGCTGCCTCCAGCCCTGGGGAACAGCACAGGGAGGACGTGGAGCTGCTGGAGAGAGTCCAGAGGAGGCATCAAGATGGTCAGAGGGATGGAGCAGCTCTGCTGGGAGGAAAGGCTGGGAGAGTTGGGATTGTTCAGCCTCGAAAAGAGAAGCTTTGGGGTGACCAAACTGTGGCCTTCCTGTGCCTGAAGGAGCCGACAGGAAAGATGGAGAGAGACTATTGACAAGGGCCTGGAGTGCCAGGACAAGGGAGAATGGCTTCAAACTGCCAGAGGACAGAGTTATATGGGATATTGGGAAGAAATCCTTCCCTGTGAGGGTGGGGAGGCCCTGGCACAGGTTGCCCAGAGAAGCTGTGGCTGTCCCTGGATCCCTGGAAGTGTCCAAGGCCAGGTTGGACAGGGCTTGGAGCAACCTGGGCTAGTGGGAGGTGTCCCTGTCAATGGCAGGGGGTGGGACTGGATGAGCTTTCAGGTCCCTTCCAAGCCTACCATTCCATGATTTGGGCTTTGCTGCAGACTTATGTGGAGCTGTTTTGGCAGCAGTGGGGGTCCATGGAGGTGTGGAGTGTGTCCATTCACATCCCAGAGTAACCCAGGCAACCCCTTCTGGCACTGGGGACAGCCATCACTGGTC